ATTGCTTTGAATATTATGTAAAATTAAAAAAATATTATTTATATAAAAACGGGTTCAACCGCGAGTGAACCCGATTAAATTAGTGAATCAGTACCTTCACCGTTCAATGTCCGATTCGGTTTTAAAAACATTGATAATTTTACCAATAGTTGGGGACCACTATTCCCGTGTTTTCTTCTCCCTTCCATTTTATTTGCTCTCATTCTCTTCCCAAATTCACGACACTTACTCTTCTTGCTGTATATTGATGGAATCCGCTTGGGTGAATACGACGCTGGATCTCAACATTAACCCCTTATCTCATACCAACAAAGCTCCAAAGAGAGAAGCTGATGGGAAAATGGCCGACTTTGATGTGAAATCCCCAGTCAAACAGAGACTGGGATGTTGGTTGAGGAATTGAACCGGTTAGTGCCGAGAACAAGAAGCTAACCGAGATGCTAACGGCTGTATGCGAGCACTACACGATTCTGCAAATACCTTTTTCAAGGAACGTATCACTGTCTCCATTTTTTTTCATCGAGCTCTGGGTGGCTTAGCTGCTGATGTGCTATTATGAAGAAAATGGTGTGGGAGTTGTAATTCTAGCCTCGGCAACGGCGTTTTGGTGCCTCTTTGAGTTCCAGACCTTTGCCACCCCTTCCTAATTTGGAAATTTCTGAGAGGAGTGCTGTGAAGATTGCCAAGGAGTTACAAATTGTTGTTGTCTTGTGGTTTGTTTCTTACATCGCTAAGTACAGGAAAATTGACGAGACAGTATTGAGGAAGCTCCCATCGCTCTCTAATAAAGTAAAGAAGATGCAGTAGTTTAAGAATCATCTTCACCGTTGCTACAAACAAGAATATCAGGAGAAACATGAGGCGTTGATTCCAGGGCTACCCGATGAGATCGCAAAGCATTGTCTTCTTCATCTTCCGATACAATGGCAAGCGCTGGACCCGCGATCAAACTGTTGGTTTGTTTTACCTTCAATGCCTTGTCCCAAGGCTGTGTGCCCACCGGGGTTTGCTTGTACTTCGAATACACGTCAAGGCCAGCTCTACATTTTAGGTGGTATGCGATCAGACACACAAACTTCCATCAATAAAACGATGGTTTACACCACATCCACAAATCAGTGGTCCATAGCATCTCCCATGGTGATCCCATGATTTTTCTTCGCTGCTGGGAATGTCAATGGTAAGATCATTGTTGTCGGTGGAAGTGGGGGTGAGTGCAATGACTCAAACACCTCCGTGGAATGCCATGATCCGCATACTGACACGGGGGAGTAAGTTTTTAAAATGCACGTGGAGATGTGCAGCCATTTATGGCCATGCATTTGACCATTTATTAAGTGTACAATACGTTACACATTTTTAATATTTTTTCTCTCAATTTATTTATTTTTCTCTTCAATTTATTTCGTATTTATTTTTTTATCTAACATTTTTTACTTTATTTTTTAGGATAATTTTGATTAGTTAAAGGTAAATAATTTGAATCGAATATTTTAATTATAATTTAAATTTAAATTTTTGTAATTAAGACAACCGATTAATTAATTGATACCGAAAGAGTGGTTTAAGGGTGCTAATCCTTCCTTGACTGTAACCGACTTTCGAAACCCGACACGTTTCTGGTACAACGCAGATCAGCTAAGATGGTGTCTGACCTACCTAAATTCGTTTTAAAATTGTCGGTGACGACTCTAACCTAATTATTCAAGTTGAAATCCAATTTCAGACCTAACCGAAAGACAACCACAACAATTATGTCAGGGGATCATTTGATGATATTGTTGAACGGTTTAGTGAGATTTCATTTTAGTTATATTGCATGAATATTAATACATATAAATTAAAATGACCTAGGAATGAGATATGATATTTGTTAAATTTTTGGCTACGACTATTTTTTTAGGTTTAGTGTTCCTTACTGAAGCTTTTCTTATCTATTTTTAACTGGTCAATACGAAAACCGAATTTGGTGCTGAAAGTTGATTGGGATTGGATTAGAGAAAGGTTGTGGGTTTTGAGAAAACTTAGTTGATTACTACCCGCTACTGACCCAACAATACTACTTCTAGGTTCAACAACATACAATGTAACATCATCTTGTGAAACACTAATGTAAGCAATGAATCGTTCAACATCTTCATTGTCGGTTAACAATAACTTTACCATTTCTCTGATAAGATAGCCTAATCACTTAGGGGCTCTAATTCAATTATTTGAAACACGTAGCTTAGAGTTTCATAAGTTAACTTTTGTAAAGACAATTTTAGTTGAAGATTCATGGGTAAAGGCATATATTGTAAAACACCATGAACATTATCCCATGACCTCCAAAACACAAATCTATCCAACATGATCAACATTAGATGATTTCATGGTTGTAAATTAATTTACTAAACAGACGAGCTGCGAAACTAAAACCTGTTGCCGGATTGGGAAGGATGTCGTTGGATATAGGAACGGATGTCCGCCGGAGAGAGTGATAGATGGAGATGGAATGAGTTGCGATTTAGGGATTTAGTTTATGATTTCAGTGTTATATACCCAAAATTTCAGTGTTGTGATTTACAGATTCTCGTTGCATTTCGGATTATCGTTGCGATTTACAGATTCTCGTTGCGATTTACGGATTATCGTTGCGATTTACGGATACGCGTTGCGATACGGATACGCATTGCGATTTACCCATACGCGTTGCGATTTACGGATACACGTTGCGATTTACGGATACGCGTTGCGATTTATGTGTTCGCGTTGCGATTTTCATATTCGCGTTGCGATTTTTAAATCGCAATGCGAATTTGTACTATCGCATTGCGATTTTCAAGAATTGCGTTGTGATTTTGGAAACTGATTTGCGATTTGGGGATCGCGTTGCGATTTTTATTTCGCGTTGCGATTTGTTGGTCATTTTGGCAAATCCAAAAAAGTTGGTTAAATCGTATATTATAACTTTTTTTTGGTCACTGAGGCGATTTTCTCCTATACATAATGTAGACATATTTGCTAATTAACCGGTATATTTTTTACCAGTTACATGTAACTTGTTAATAATTATCGGTTTCATTGTATTTGGATCGATACTTTTATAAATGTATCGACAGTTTATGTATACACCTCGTCTGGATAAGAGTATCGACACAAATTTAAAAAAGTGTCAATACTTTATGTTGATCTATTTTCTCATATTTTAGCTTTTATATTGTTATAGATTGATACATTTTCATAAAGTGTCGACGCTTTTTAGGCGCTATAACTTTTTCTCTTTTAAATTCAGAAAGTGTCGATACTTATTTTAAATTATCGACACTTTCAACATATATGGTATCGTATTACCGTTTTGTCATTTTGAGACCGGTTTTGTCATATTTTACCTGTTATATTGTTATGATCGATACATTTTTTTAAAATATCGACACTTATAGGCGCTATACTTCTTCTCTTTTAAATTCCAAAAGTGTCGATACTTATATTAGTATCGACACGTTCAACATATCCGGTAGTTATTTACCTGGTTTGTCATTTGAGATCTATTTTCTCATATTTTTAGCTGTTATATTTTATCGATCGATACATTTTTATAAAGTGTCGATACTTTTTAGGCGCTATAACTTCTTCTTTTAATTCAGAAAGTGTCGATACTTATTAAATTATCGACACTTTCAACATATCCGATATCGTTTTACCGGTTTTGTCATTTTGAGACCGGTTTTGTCATATTTGTACCTGATATATTGTTATAGATCGATAAAATTTTTTTAAAATATCGACACTTTATAGGCGCTATAACTTTTTCTCTTTTAAATTCCAAAAGTGTCGATAATTATATTAAAGTATCGACACTTTCAACATATCTGGTAGTTATTTACCTTTTTGTCATTTTGAGACCGATTTGTCATATTTTTAGCTGTTATATTGTTATGGATCGATACATTTTCATAAAATTTCGACACTTTTTAGATGCTATAACTTCTTCTCTTTTAAATTCAGAAAGTATCGATACTTATATTAAATTATCGAAACTTTCAACATATCTGGTAGCGTTTTACCGGTTTTGTCATATTTTACTTATTATATTGTTATAGATCGATATTTTTCATTTGTATCGACACAAACCGACAAGTTAAGTTTGCGGTCACATTTTTTAATATTTCTTCATGATTTAGACATACTACATTATTATTACTCAATATTTCCGGTATCGCTAAACCGAATTTGTTAAGTATATTATAATATATCCAATAACGCCGTATATTAATCATATATTAGCCTGCCTTTCATGAGACAATCCCGAAACAAGTTGTTTCTAATGAACCGAACAAAACACTTCTCTCCTACCCTCTTCCCCTTCCCCTCGAGTGCCATCAATCATTTCTCCATCAACTTCTATATAAATTAAAAAAAAATTCTCGACCATATGAATCAAGACGTTAGAGTTCATTCTCCATCAAACTCAGTTCACAACCCAAAGCTAAGGGCCTACCCTTATATTTACTTCAATAAACCCACCCTTCTAAAAATCTTCGTTTTCTGCTTCTTCCCTTTAATCATATCCTCATTTCTCCTTGCTTACTTCAACAACAATCTAAGTGGCAAGAATTCTGAAATGGTTTGTGGAAATTTGGGATCTTTTTCTTGTTTCATACTTTGGGTTTTGCTTCTCTTTCAATTTAAAGTATTGCAACATTTTCCCCTTTTTTGTGTGAAAGGTGTTGTTGCCAGGATATTACAATGGCTCCGATTTTGCTAATGTGGATTCAAGTGAAACTGATTCTGTTCCTTTTTGAAGACACTGGTTATGTTTGTTCAAACGGGGGAGCCTGGCGTTTCTTGTACCACATTCAACTCCTAGCTCCCATTTACAAGAGATTGGACCAGCATGTGTTCTTCTTCTTCTTCTTCTCTTTTAATGTCACTGCTTTCTCTCTTTACCCCTCTCTTGCTATTATCGATGTCTTAACGTTTGTAAATTTTGCTCATTTCATTGTCCTTTTTTGGTGATTATGGAAAAGAATCAGAGTGTACGAGAGAGTGATTTTAGAGCATTTTGGTTGGCTAGAAATAAGATCCTAAATTGGTTGCTTTACGAAAGGTCGTCCATTATCTGTCTCCAGGTGGGTTTCATATGCCCTTTTCATCTATTGCGTCCTCCTATGACATAAGCCTTTATTTATCGACTACTTGTTTTTCAATGATTAGGAATTTTGGGATGGAAATGAAGAGTTGGTGCATATGCATGAAGAAAGGCTTGGTGCTGCAGGCTATGATACCTTCAAACTTGCAAGAAGCAACAACCGAGGAGATGTTACACTCCCACTTTAACGTATTTATTCTCATACTGGAGGCCAGTTTTAAGATTTTGTTTATAGATTAGATAGTTTTGGATGTTCTTATGTGATGTTGTACCAAGTTCAAGTATATTAAGATTAAGTCAAAATCAGTAGAGAATTTGAGAGCTTGACAGAAAATTGTGTAATATTAGTTGTAGTTTGATGCAGCTGAGTGTTGTTTTGTTTGGAAGTTTATTTTCTACTTTTCCACTTTCAGTATGCAAATCCTCCATTTTATCGGCTCCTATAGAATAGGGTAAACAAAAGAATGAGCATTTCTCACCTATTCAAGAGTGAACTATTTCCATTATAAATTTATAATTCACATATTTTTCCTTTTGCTCTATGGTTTCAGTTTCCAGCTACATGGGAAAAGGATGGTCATACTTCTTGGGCTGTTTACAGTCCTTATAATGTGTGTAGATCATCCTGCAAGATTTAAATTTTATTATGGCAATGGGTTTGGAAATTTGCATCAGAGAAGAGCTCCTGGTGGAAGAAAGTGATGTGTAGTGTGAATAACTTGGATCCGAATTCTATGATGATTGAGAACAATTGCACAACTAGAGCGTCTTGGATACGGAGAGGTGTTGTAAGTAATTTTTTTTCTACTGATGAATTTGAGGATTGCCTTAGGAAAAACATGTGTTTAAGAGCTGAAAATGAAGAATCAGTGGAATTTTGGAATGATATATGGATGGGTATGGTTCCTCTGAAGGAGAGGTTTCCGAGACTTTTTGCATTATCGAATAAAAAAAGGGGTAAGATGGTAGAATTCAGGATGAACAGTAATTTCAGTTGGGTTTGGGATATACAAATTAGAAAAAAATTGATGGATTGGGAGGTTGAGCAATGGTTACAGCTTATTTCATTGTTGAACAACACAACTCTTTCATTATTGGAGGAAGATTGTTGGTTATGGCTAGGAAATGGGGAGGGTTGTTTTTCAGCTAAATCTGCATCACAAATTTTATGATCAGGAGGGAAATGATGGAGAAGAGGGTATTGGGATAGGCATGTTTTGTACCTCCACATGTTGAAGCTTTTGTTTGGCAAGTTGCACATCAAAGAGTAGCAGTTAAGGAGGAACTGTTGAAGAGGGGAGTGACTGGGATTGATGATCTTTTATAGGGATGGCAAAAAAACCTGAACCCGACGGGAAAAACCGAAAACTGAATTAAATGGGAATGGGGAAAAAACGTTTATACTAAACGGGGATGGGGATGGGGACGGGGAAAAATCGTTTATGTTAAACGGGGACGGGGACGGGTTTAGTAATCCCCGCCCCGATAAATATTAAAAATAATTATTATATATATATATATAATATTAATAAATTTAATTTAAATTAAATTAAAAAATATATATAATATATATATTTAATTTAAATATATATACCCGGCCCGATACCCGTTTAAATAACCGTTTATGCTAAACGGGGATACCTGTTTCCCCGCGATTTTCCCCGATTACCCGATGGGGATCCCCGTTTAAATCCCCGCGGTTTTTTAAGCGGGGATGGGTACGGGTTTTTTAAATGGGGACGGGGATGGGGGGACCAATACCCGGCCCGAACTCAGCCCGTTTCCATCCCTAATCTTTTATGTTCGATGTGTGGGAAGTGTGAGGAGTCAATTTCACATATGCTTTTGCATTGTGAGGTGGTTTGGTTTCTGTGGTCTAGATTTTTGAGGGGCCGGAACATTTCTTTTGTGGTTCCTAAGAAGCTGATTGAATTTTTATTTTTGTGGGATGATTTAATTCCGAGATCTACTATTTGGAAATTCATTCCAAGGGCGGTGTTGTGGTCGGTTTGGAAATGCATAAACGAGATTATTTTCCAGAAAAGGAAGGTGGATTCTGCAATGTTGTTCTTTCTTGCTAGATTCAGAACTGCTTTTTGGTTTGGGGTGAGATTTAAGGATGTTAAAGTTCTTTTTGATTCTCTAGTTGGGGATCTAAAACTGGCAAATTCGAAAGGAATACAGAAAAAAAGGTGTTATCCTCCTACTAAGTGGGTACCTCCTCCAGAAGGTTTCCTTAAACTTAATGTTGATGGGGCAATGGCTAAGGGATGGGACAAAGGTGGAATAGGTGGTTTGATTAGGGATGACAGGGGTATGTTACTTGGTTCATTCTCAGAAAAAATTAGAGGTGGTCCTCCAATTTTTGCTGAGCTAATGGCGATCAAAAGAGGTTTGATTCTCATTGAAGAAGTAGGTTCTTCTCCAAGACAGAGGATTATCTTGGAATTGGACTCGACAACGGCTCTGAAGTGGATTAAAAATCCAGATCTATGTAGCCCTTTATTTCAGTCCTTGGTTAGAGGTGTAGGGACTTATGTGGAAGGAAAGGGCATCATTTCAAGACATTTTGAGAGCTGCTAATCGGGAAGCGGATGAGTTAGCAAAAGCTGGTATAGGTTAATCTAGTGGTAATGTGATGTGGTTCTTAAGTTGTTGTGCTTAGTCAGTTTTTTAGGTTCTTGGTTTTACTACTGTAGTATGTGTTATGTTTTTAAGTCTTATGTTACAAGCAGTCTATGACTAAGAATTGGTTGTACGTTATGTTTCAGATTAATAAAATTCAGAGGCACTCTTTTCCTCCTTCCTATGTCCTTCATGTTATTGATATAACATGTAGGATATGAAGTGGGTTTTTAATGAGGCATATCTTCTATCAAAAAAAAAAATTCTATTACTTTAGTTCTTGATGTTTTGGTTGGTTTGATTCAATTTGAATTTCAAGTGCTTTCTAGTCTCAGGGTTGAGAACTATTAATTTTACTTCCACAGGTTTGTTGACTTCTATACACAAGGAATACTTCAAGGTTTTAAACCATGGGGAGTTGTTCTTCAATGACTTTGGAGATCGTGTTGCTCAACTGTTACATGTTCGATTAATTGCACCGTTCTCAAGAAATCAGAATGGCAACGTTGAACAAGAAATTATCATTGTCAACACCCACCTTTTATTTCCCCATGATTCCAGTTTATCCATTGTAAGACTGCACCAGGTAAATGTTGTGGTCTTATGAAATATGTCAGTGTACCAGTCCACTTTCTTTTTCAGTTCTTTTTTATGCTAACAGAGTTGACTGATCTCTAGCTTTGATATTTTTCTCATAGGTTTACCAAATACTACAATATCTGGAAACATATCAGAGAGAAAACAAACTCAGCCAGACGCCTGTCATACTCTGTGGTTAAGCATTATCTTTGGTTTTATCACTTAATGATCTCCCCAGTAAAAGGCTATTGTTTTATTTTCCGTGGTCTCATTCCGCCCCCCCCCCCTTCTAATGCTATTGATTTTGCAGTGACTTGAATGGAAACAAGCGTGGACATGTCTACAAGCTCATCAGATCCCAGGGATTTGTATCATCTTATGATATTGCACACGAATATACAGACAGTGATGTGGATGCTCATAGGGTTAGTATATTCGATTTCAGATTTTATTTTAGTACCTCTTTATCAATATACCACCATGTTTTTTTGAGTCTGCAATGCTTACTGATTAAATATGTCGGCTTTCATCGTCGTGTCTCTGGTATCCTACAGTGGGTTAGCCATCAAAATCACAGGGGAAACATCTGTGGTGTTGATTTCATATGGCTTTTTTAATCCTCAAAAATAAAAAAAACCTTTGAAGATAAGTTGGGCTGAAGCAGCTTTTGGTATATTAAAGGTTAGTTCTGCATTTTTCATTTTAACTGTTTGTTTATAGTTCCTTATTCTGGCTTCGTAACTCAAATTATTGCTCCCTGAATTCTTACTGCAGTAGTCAAACTTTAAACGCCATTAGACAATTACATCAGGACATGCCATATCTTTGTTCACATTCTGATAACCACCTTATGCATTAGAACCACTTTTCAAATTTTTTACCTAGGCTTCACTTTTTGACGGAATTCTCAAGTGACTGGTTCGGGAATCTGATATCCGTCTCTCTGATTCTTACCTTAAACTTGTGTATCTTATGAGTAGGAGCAGATGGGAAATGTATGTGTTTTACGTTTTCTTTTTCAAATGAGTATCACCAATTATCATGGATCTGCATCTAAAATTGAATTCCCATTTTCTTGGTGACAGTATCAACTTAAAAAGGTTTCATTGTCTGAAAATGTTGCCTTTGCCTTTCTAAGGGATGACAATAACAACAACCATATAACATATTCAGCTTTTTGTGATGCAGTTAGACAGGTACTTCTCATTCACTTTCTTAATATAGTACCCTAGTATATAATGTGAGTGGTAAAATTCTCATCTTTTATGAACCATCTACAGGTGAATTTGACTGGTCTTTCTTATGGATTAAGCTTCCAGGAGACTGTCACGATCAGAGTAGAAGAGGTGAGACTTGATGATAAAAAGGGGAAAATAAGAAATCAAGGGTTAGGGATTGTATCTGAAGATTTGGGGATTTTTACTTACCTTGCACGTGAGGAGGCTAGAAGTAATTACAATGGGACTGGCATGGATCAGGTGGATTGTGAACAGGCCCATAATGAGAAGCCAATATCAGCAGTGAACGTTAAGGTTGTTAGCCAAGGACAACAGCTGGCAAATCCATGGATCGGTACCTATAAACAAATAAATAGAGATTAAAGAAGAGAAGAATAGATTTTAGGAAAGAAAATTTTCATCCATTGATTGCATACGATAAACATTCTATGGCAATACTCTCTATTTATTTGTTTACAGGTACTGAATCCATGGATTTGCCAGCTGTTGTCCTTGGCTAACAACCTCAAAGTTCACAATCCACCTGATCCATGCTAGTCCCCTTGTAATTACTTCTGGCCTCCTCACTTGCAGGGTAAGTAAAAATCCCCAAATCTTCAGATACAATTCCCAACCCTTGATTTATTAATTTTCCTTTTTTATCACCGAGTCTCACCTCTTCTACTCTGATCGTGACAATACCCTCTCCATGAAGTGATCCTTGTCCCCAAGGATCAAAATCTGAGAATTGTGCTGGAAGTATAATATACTTTACCACAATGACATTTTCCAGTCCTAATTTCATCGACTGCACCTGATTATACTCTTGCTCCCTACGTTTGTCGAGCACTGTAGAACCATAGAACCTTGCTGCTAGCTTTAATCCATTTCGAAGAGCAAGTGAGGTTTGATGGTAAGACTAAAATTTCAAGTAAACTTGGCCCCCAACCTTCAAATTTCTATAAATTTTCATTCTGCTTTGTGCCTTCACACCCCATGCCTTTAACATTTGATTCATGTTTTCCTTGGGTTTGAGAATTAAGTGAACTATAGATTGCCCTCGATTTTTCCTTCTTATGGTTAAAGCTAACAACTCCAATAGTTCATGCTCTTTGATTTTTACTTCATCTCTGCTGCCTTCAATGTTGACTTCCCTTATACTGATGGCATTTCCCTCTCCTTGAGATGATCCTTGTGCAAGTGGTTGTCTTAAGTGCAATGAACCAACTAAACCATTCTCTGTAAGATTAGCTAAAGCACTGCGCCTACTATGTTCTTGTTTCATGGTCACATTAGTGAAAATAATTTGGTCTGGTTGGACTCCTTGTGCAGCAGAATACACTCGCAGTCTCATTTCTCCAACAGCTGGAAATCTAAGGAGCCAAAGTGTAAAAATAAATTTATTTTCTAGAAGACCATAATCAGATCGCTTGTACTGACAAGTTAGATCCAACACATCATGATTTTCCTGCTTATAATCATTCACAAAATAACAATGAGGGAGATGGACAAGCTTCTCAGAATAAATGTGTGCATAGCACAAAGGAGAAACAAACTCATCAGTGACCAAGTAATCAATGTAAACTACCCTAGTAGTCTTAGGTAATCCCATACATGAGACTTGTACAGGTGCAGACTGTATTGCAAAAATTTCATTCCTTGCACCCTTGGTATAACCATTCATGTTCATAAAGATCTGTACACCATCCTTATTTATCATTTTGGCAATTACAACTGATGACAGGGCAGAGACATCTATAAAATGCTCTGCTTTATACTGGATACACTGTCTCCATTCAGTACCATCATTTGGACTCAAGGCATAACAAAATACCTCAACATTCTCTATGTTGTGCATGCCAAATATTGATCCCATTAGGTGTGACGATGGATGGTTGCCAAAGTCACTGCTGACGTAATCGACCTTTAATCTCCCATTTCCACCATTGCTCTTGATACGAATTGGTGCAGGATGATTGAAAGGATGAGGAGCAAAATGTGATGCAATTATGGACAAATGAGTAACATATTTAAGGCTTATATCAAGGGCAAGCATTGGATCAATAGGATATGCTATGGCATGAAAGGTTGCACGCTGGAAAGAACTGGATAGTAATGTGCCTTCAGATAATTCCTTCAACTTCAGCAAACATTTTATCGCGTTCCTCCCAACTGCACTCACATTGTAATGTATGTAAGGGGTTACAAGTAGCCTCAGGAAAATCAGGTTGAAAAAGCAGTGCCTGCTTATAACTTTTGACGGCAGTTTCCACATCTCCACTGTCTTTATAAGAAGAAGCCAGATTTGCATAGGCTGCTGCCATATTTGAACGGATGTTAATAGCAGGAATATAATCCTGAATTGCATCTATGACATTACCAATATCATTGAAAGTGTTACCCTTGTTTACTAGCCCATCAACTGTTAAGGAATCAATCCGCAAAACCTCATTGTAACAAGATATAGCTTCCATATAGTTTCCCTGTTGCTTATAGATTACTGCAAGGTTGTTGAATGAAGCAGACAACCTTGTTGTGACAGCCAATGTAGCCTTATAGTAAGAAGCAACAACAACCATGTTTCATTCCATATATATGTTCCCTAGGTTGGTAAGTGCTTGGGAATGATTAGGTTGCAAGTTGACACAGTATAGGTAAAAGCATGCATCAATAGTTTTTTGAACCAACCCCGTTTCAGAGTCTGCCATCAATTCTTTCCCATTTTTGGCTTTCATATTTGCATCTCCAATTTTCCTCAATTAATAATGGTCCATCCTTCATCCAGTATCATAATAAGTGACTATTCTCCTTCTCAATTCTTCTGGAAACTGCATTTAATTTTGAAGTTGTACAAATTCCAACTCAACCCTCATAGCAGCTTTGCCATCTGTCGTGGCTTGTTTCTGTTGCAGTCGTTAATTAACCTTCATGGAACCGGTGATGGATGAGAATACATGATCTACTCTTGCTGACATTTTATCGAACACTTGCAAAACATCATATGTTTTTTCTATTGTCACTGAAAATATTTTTTTAAGAGTGAAGAAGGGTTTAGACTTACCAAGTGAAAGCTGACCTATTTTTTTCTCTCCATGAATTTGCACGATTTCAGGGCTTAGTGGTTCTCGATAATCTGTCATTCATGTCAAGTCCCTTAGAATATGCTCCAAACAAACCCTTATTCATTGCAATCTGTCTCCAAGTACTGGTTTTGCTTCACCATATTTTTTAAGTTTTCAATATGTTTTTGAATCGCAGAAAGAGCAGAGGATTCAACCATTGCGTTGCCTGGAGTTGTAGCTCTGGATACCAATTTATTATGACCCTACAAGAGAAGAGGAATAATCGAAGAAAATAGAGGAAGATTAATCAAATAAAATAGAGGAAATATAGATTAAACAAGAGAAGAATATATTTTAGGAAAGAAACTTTTCATTCATTGATTGCATAAGATAAACATTCTATGGCAGTATTCTCTATTTATTTGTTTACAGGTATCGAATCCATGGATTTGCTAGCTGTTGTCCTTAGTTAACAACCTCAACATTCACTGTTGATATTAGCTTCTCATTCTGGGCCTGTTCACAATCCACCTGATCCATGTTAGTCCCCTTGTAATTACTTCTGGCCTCTTCACGTACAGAGTAAGTAAAAATCTCCAAATCTTCAGATACAAACTTTAACCATTAATTTCTTATTTTTCCCTTTTTTTATCATCAAGTCTCACCTCTTCTACTCTGATCGTGACAGAGATAAAAGATCTCTGGGTCCAATCAGACACCAATGGAAACGGTGTTCTAGACTATGAAGAATTTAAGGTGTGTTCCATCGGTAATGTATCACTTTGTTTCAAAGTTAATTTTACTTGTAGCAGGATGCCTTTGTGCATCTACACATTCTCTTGTCACTTAAATAAGTTTTGGCAACTTTTCTCCGTAAAACCAATTTTCATTCTGTATTTTAAAGTCATCATGTAGAAAAAAACTATGTCCTTAACCCGTTGTTTGTAGAAACGTTCAAATAGTTGGTTGACATGTTTGCAGAGAATTTGGGATGCTACATGATTGCAACATATGGATGAAAAGTGCAACTTAGCAGACTTGAATGCAGACATTGCAGAAGAAGAATAAGAAAAAGCTATGGGTTTTACAGTAAAGAAAGCAGTTCTCTTCCCCCGTGAAGTGGAGAAAGGGATATGGCCTGAAAACTACTCTCTTTCTGATCATGCCCGACTCGCCGCCGTATTCTCACCAGTTAGATTACGGTGTTCGAAGCAAAGCTTGTAGAGTAAAATTGTTGATAGCACATTTAAAAAAGAAAAAAAAAGCTGTAAAGTTTTGGAATTTCATTATAGCCCTGGAAAGTTAAGTTTTATCCCATCCGTCTAGCCGCTCATGGCGTCCAAGCACCAAGAGAACAAATAGAAGTGCGTCAAGCAGATGTTTTTGTTCTATTGTC